TAGTAATTGTTGCATATAAAACTACTTTACCATCTCTATTTTTTGCACCTTTAAAATGTGTAATTTGTAATAAAATAAAAGCATAAATCTACATGCCAAATGCAAGTTCTATATGTACAAATACATATGCTTATGTCTACCTCTACATTGTGATATATACTGATGATCAATTTGTTTCTCATTTATTTACAAAAATTGAAAAGAGAAAAGATGTATCAATAATTACGTGTAAATTACCAACTTAATTGCCATATATATATGTCAAACATAAACACCAAGTAAAATGCTTGGCGTTTCATAACATATAAACTGGGATCATGAACTTGAGGTTATTATATCTGTAAACCATTTATTGGTAATACATTAACATATCTCATTCCTGCCTTGAACTTTAAGCATTTTGGTGGTGGACCAAGTCAGGACAAAGAATTCCCCAAATACATTTGCACCTCAGGGCTCTGCCATGTATTGAGTGGAAAAACATAAGTACTACTTGAATGAATAATAATCCTTGGAATAAGCTTTTGATATACCATATGATTGAAGAAAAAAGTTGCTATTGGATTATTGGTTTTATACCTGCTTCAAGGTGTGATGTCTTTGATAAACTGGAGTTTGATCTTCTGTAGCGCTCTTAGAACTTCTTTCACGTTTATTCTCTCCTCAGGGGTATCTGTTGTACAACTTAAACCAAGTTGCAAGACAGATGATATGCAGTTAATCTTCTTTTGTACCAGTTCATTTTCAGGACGAAGTAAGTCTCTGTCTATAACTTGAATCATAGAATCTGGTAAGCAATCTTGTACCCAACGCTTGAGGCTTAACTCTTCTGTGAACATCTCATCCTTAGGCTTTCTTTTTGTAAATGTCTCCATCAATGTAATTCCAAAGCTGTAGACATCACAACTTGTTGAAACCAATCCTTCCAGTCCATACTCTAGCATCAAAATTTGAAACTCGTTGTTAAAGTCAAGCATTGTTATCGGTTCAACAAATTTATGTTTTTTCTTAAAGGTTTTATATTTGACATACTGTACTAGTTGTTGAAAGTTGAAACACTAATTTGAATGATATAAAAATTTCAAAATTTGAGTCACCTGGGGCAATATATCCAAATGTAGCAAGAGTCTTTGTTTGTACCACAGATTCTCCATCTTCTAACAACTTTGCAATTCCAAAATCGCAAACATGCCCAACCATGTCTTGATCTGGGAGAATATTGCTAGGTTTCAAATCACAATGAACTATAGGAGTTGAATAACCATAATGGAGATATTCCAAACCACAAGCCACATCTATCATAACATCCAATCGTTGCTTGATGTTTAAGAAATGAGGGTTTGAATGAAGCACATTTCTCAAGGCTTCCATTGGGCATGTAATCGAGCACCAAAGCCTTAAAGTCAAGGCTAGAGCAAGCAGTAATTACTCTAGTTAAATTTCGATGATGAAGGCAGCTTAAGACTTCACATTCTCGATCAAAGCTTTTAAATGCACCTTCTAGCTGCAAATCGAATACCTTGATGGCCCAAACCATCCCATTTTCGCGATTTCCCTTGTAAACTGAACCAAAGCTCCCCGAGCCAAGTAAGTTACTCTCACTGAATCCATTTGTTATTTGTCTAAGTTCATAGAAGGATGCCCTTTCAAATGTCGCCATGGGAAGCAAGTTCTGAGTCGGAGCTAGAGTTTTCTTTCTCAACTTTAACCGCACCAAAAAAATTGAAATCACCAAGGCTAATATGACTGAACCTGATGCCAACAGAACAATCATGACTATCCTTTTTGTCTTTGATTCATGCTCAAATGTACTTGTGCAAGGTTGGAGCCAAGGAGCGCCGCACAATGCTTCATTTGAGAGAAAAGATAGGTTCGTGAAATTTGCGAATGGTCCTCCATGAGAAATCGGTCCTTTCAATCTGTTGTAAGACACATTAAAGTATCGGAGATTTGATAGTACCTGTAATGAGTTGGGAATTTCACCTTCCAAATTGTTAAAAGATAGATCCAAATGCCGTAACTGCAACATATTCTTCATGGAATCTGGTATCAATCCTTGTAGTTTGTTATGTTCCAAGCAGAGTTCTTGCAAATCCTGTAGTGCTCCAATAGTGCTGGGTATCCCACCCAAGTATTGATTATTTGAAAGGTTCAAATAGACTAATACCTTGAAGTTTCCAATTTCAGCAGGCAAAGAACCTGCCAAATAATTTCCTGACATGTCCAGCGCCAAAATATCTCTAAGCCTCCAAAAGCTTGTTGGCATGATAGATCTTAAATTGTTGGAATTGAGATAAACATATCTGAGTGTTGTAACGTTTCCTAAACAAGAAGGCACCATACCAGAGAGCATATTTTGTCCAAGTCTTAATCCTCCTAAGTTCAACAAATAACAAAGCTCACTTGGAATAGCACCTTGTATCTGATTGTCGCTTAGATCTATCATCTGAAGCTTTAACAACCATTTGATCGTAGTCGGAATTACTCCCGTCAAACTATTGGTTGCAAAGCTCAGCCGTACCAAGTTGCTCAAATTACCAATCGAACTTGGAATTTCACTTATGATTCCACAATTTCTGGCAGAAATGGATTCGAGTGAGCTAGAAAGATTTCCAATAGACTTTGGGAGGAAGCCATTCAGAGGATTCTCAACTATCCACAACCTTGTTAAATGTTTGCAGTTTGACAGGGATATGATGAAGCTCAACTCTTTGGATAGCGAGTCCTCAGAAAAATAATTTTGCCATATAGCACTACAACAGAATTGGCCATTTGCGGCACTTTCAATGCGGCACATAGCTAATTTGCTGCAATAAAGTGGTATTATTTTGATTATGCTGAAATATTGACCCCGTATTTGGCTTTTCGTGGCAAATTAACGGCACAATTAAATTCCACCACTAGCGCAACTAAACGATGTCGTTGTTGTGAGCTGTCCAAGCATTAAATGAATAATTGCTGAATCATATTCATGGTAAGTAATCTTTCCATTTTCTCAGTCCTCCCACTTCTTCTCCCCTCTCAATTTTTCTAAATTTCTTCTATAGTCCGAGAACCCTATGCCTCAAATTTCTCTTCCAAAACTTTCGATTTTGCCTCTGCTCATCCCTAATTTCTCATTCTATCTCTCTATTTTTCATGAAACAGGTAATTACTTAATCCTTTAGCAGATTGACACAGGATGCTTTTACAATTAATAGCGATGACGAGAAGTAGCAATAGCACCTGAAGTATTGTTTTATCAAAGACGATGCCGTGTTCTATCAAAATCGGTGCACTTTTTTCTCTTCTTCTGTTCTTATCCAAGTCTCCATTGATGAAACCAATCTAATTTGAGCGAAACTTTTGAAGCTGTACTAGCGAGGTAATTAAGCTCAATTTCTTTGTGATATTTTCACTTTACTCATTTCAACTTGTGGTATTTGCTACCAATATTGCTGATTAATTGCTCTTTGACATTCCTTTGTTTGTCTCCTCCTAAATTTCTGGGGCTATCTGGTCTCATACTTAATTTGCTTGCTTTTTTTATCCTCTTCTCTTACCTGATTTGGATATGCCACATCGTATGCATATGCCGTTTCGTTTCAGTGACTACTTTTTGCTTTTTGTTACAAGCTAAGATGTTGTTCTCATAATATCACATCTTCATTGTCCTTCGTTATGCGTCATTCTGGTTATGATTTGATCTTTAGTGGCTGTTTGACCAATATGTTGCTTGTGAGTTATAGTACTGCACATGCTAGTGCTTGATTATCGTTTGGAAACTTTGAAAGCTTTCTTATCTTGATTCTATGTGGAGTGTTCCTAATATTAAATAAGAACTATCAGTTCTCCCAAAAAATGAAGAGGAATTTAGTGATTAGTAATGGTCAACTTGAGTTATTTATGCTTTTTTTTGGGTTAAGATGGAGAACGACTATATGATTTTTGAATGTGGATTTTAATGGTTTTTTTCAATTATTTGAGACTTAATGTGATTTAAGGTGGAATTCTAGAGTTTCAGTTTGAAAATTTGGACTTCTGTGTAGATTGTTATGTTGTTATGCATTTGTTACTTCTCCTTTTTTTTGCCACTTTTATCCGGATTATGTCTTTTTCAATACAGTATACAAGTTCTTGTACATAGTTGAACAGCAATCTAACTATCTGAATTGCCCATAACCATCATATTTATCTGCCTAGCAATTGTAGCTTGCTAGCAATTAAATGTTCTACCAAGTTGCAATTAGGAATTTGTAAGACAATCTAGCTCCCCTGATTTATCTATGTTTCTTTTTCTTGCAAACAGAACACTGGTTTGCATATTGACATAAATTCACCACATTCTTTTGGCATTGAGAAGTTGGGTTAACTGTTAACATCGCATTCCACTATGAGCATAGCAAACTGGGATGCACATGCTGCACTTTATTTTTTATTTTTTTGCATGTTAATAAATTTGCTATTTTTCAATTCTGTTTATAAGGTCTCTTTTCTTGCCTTCTCAATCTTGTTTCTTGTAGAATGGATGATAGGTCTTGGATCTTTATTGAAGACCGAGTCAGTAATCCATACTTTGAAAAGTGTCTGAGTGACTTCCTTAAATTTGCCTACAAAAAGGAGGTTGGGAGTAGAATATATTGCCCATGTAGGCGATGTAAAAACTCAGAACGAAGAAAGGAAGAAACTATGCGTGCACATGTAACAATAAAAGGGTTTTTGACCACTTATACAAATTAGATTTATCATGGTGAAGATCCATGGGACTTCAATCAAGAAAATATGAACAATGGAGTGTTTAGGCACACTGAAAATGATGACATGAATGAACACTTGAAGAGAATTCTAACATAAATTTAGAAGAACTTAGAGGAGCCTGTGATGAAGAGACTAATAAGTTTTTTAAGTTGCTGAAGCATGCCGAAACAGAGTTATACCCTGGATGTAAAAATTTTACTCTTCTATCATTTGTCATCAAGTTGTTGCATGTCAAGTCTCTTTGTCGATGGAGCAACAACTCAATGACAATATTACTGGAGCTTCTCAAGGAAGTTTTTCCTGAGAATGAATTATTTCCAAGCTCTTATCATGATGCTTGGAAGATTGTTAAACACTTGGGTCTTAGCTACCATAAAATTCATGCATGCCCCAACGATTGGTTGATTAATTGGAAGGAGACAGAACATGAAACCTTTTACAGAAAGTGTGGAACTCCTAGGTATAAGCAAATTGTAAAACAATCTGATGATTCAAGTGAACAAGCTAACAAAGTTCCAGCAAAGCTTGTTCGCTATTTTCCTTTGAAACCACGTCTCCAAAGGCTGTTCATGTCCTCAAAGACTGCTTCATTAATGAGATGGCATGAAGAGGAGCGCATCAAGGATGGAAAATTGAGGCATCCGGCAGACTCTTTAGCTTGGAAGCATTTTAATGACCGGCACCCAAGCTTTGCTAGTGATCCTCACAATGTTCGTGTTGGACTTGCAGCAGATGGATTTAACCCATTCAAAGCAATGAACAATAAATACAGCACCTGGCTAGTGATTTTAGTGCCATATAATTTACCCTCATGGATGTGCATGAAGCAAACATCATTTATGTTGTGTTTGCTAATTGATGGGCCTAAAGCTCCAGGTAATGATATTCACATATATCTTCAATCAGTAATTGATGAATTGAATGAGTTTTGGGATCCAGGGGTGCCTACTTATGATGCAGCTAGTAAGCAAATGTTTTACTTACGTACTGCACTACTTTGGACTATCAATGATTTTCCAGCTTATGGAAATCTATCTGGTTGGAGTACCAAAGGGAAGTATGCATGCCCTTGTTGTAATAAAGATGTTCGAAGTCAATGGTTGATGCATAGCAAAAAACATTGCTATTTGGGTCATCATCGATTTCTAGCTATTGATCATCATTATCGTTTAAATCGAGCACAGTTTGATGGGACAATTGGGAAACATTCTAGACCTGTTCGATTATATGGGTTTGAGATTTTAGAACAACTAAGAGATTTTAGAAATGAATTTGGAAAGGATCAACCAGTTTTCTCAGCTAAGAAAAGAAAAAGGAGGAATAAAGATAATAATGACTCTAAAGAAAGTCCCATATGTAGGTATAATTGGAAAAGATTGAATATATTCTTTCGGTTATCGTATTGGGTGGATAATTTGCTTTCACATAATCTGGATATAATGCATATTGAGAAGAATTTCTTGGAGAATCTCTTGTGGATATTGTTGGGGATGGGCAAGACAAATGATGACATTAATGCTCGATATGATCAAAAAGAAATAGGGATAAGAAAGGCACTTCACCCACAATCTAAGGGTGACAAAGTGTTTCTTCCACTTGCATGCTTCACAATGAGCAAAGATGAAAAAGAAATTTTTTGTAATGTACTAAAAACTGTCAAGGTCCCTAATGGTTATGCATCAAACATTTCGAGGTGTGTGAATATTAAAGAACGACAAATCTCTGGGTTAAAGAGTCATGATTGTCACATATTAATGCAATAATTGTTGTCCATTGCTGTGAGAAGAATATTGCCTAAACATGTTTGCAGAATTATCATTGAGTTATGAGATATATTTAGGCAATTATACTCAAAAGTGCTTACTGTAGTAGATTGTGAAACTTTGGAGGACCGTACTCCACTGGCCCTTTGTGAACTTGAGAAGGTGTTTCCACCTCCATTTTTCAATATCATGGAGCATTTGCTTGTTCACTTGCCTGAAGAGGCGAAACTTGGTGGACCATTTCAATTTCGGTCTATGTATCCTATTGAGAGGTAAAAGATTATCAACTTAATCTATGTACATTGAAAAATCACCACCGATATTAATATAAATTCTATGCATAGGTATCTGTGTACTTTGAAAAATTATGTACGGAGTCGAAGTTACCCTGAAGGTTCAATAGCAGAGGGCTACTTGGCGGAAGAATGTATGACATTCTGTTCCATGTACTTGGACAATATTGAATCAAAGTTGAATCGCCCACCTAGGAACTATGAAGGTGAATATTTAAATAGACAGATTGGCTGTCCCTTAGGAAGAGAAGAGGTTGTCTATTTAGATGATGTCTCTTGGGTTCAAGCTCATCGTCATGTTCTTGGAAATCTTGAAACTGTTGATCCTTTTCGCAGGTAAGTTCATAGTTTATCAAACTTAATCAAAAACTCATGAATTATTGCTTTCATTAAAGTATTTAATGACTAATGTAGGGAGCATAAGCATTTGCTAAAATTGGAAAAACCACGCATGTCAAACTATGAAAGGGAGAAAATTCATAGTGAACCATTTTACAAGTGGTTTAAGAAACATGTAAGTTTTAAATTCAATAATGAATTTAATTGAGCTTCATTTTCATATATTTAATATTCTCTAGAGTTAACATACAATAACAATTTTTGTTCAAAACTTGTAGGTTGAAGATTTGGAAAAATCTAATAGTTGCCATGATTATTATAAAGAAATTGCTTATTTAGCTGCTGGTCCTAATAAATGGGCAAAAAGCTATTCTGGTTACATTGTTAATGGTTTTCGTTTCCATACTAAGAAGCATGAGATGAGAAGGCAAACTCAAAATAGTGGTATATTTGTGAATGCTAGTGCCAATAGTTTCGCTAGTACAAAGGACAAGAACCCTATATCTAGAATTTTAGAATATTATGGGGTCTTAGTGGATATTGTTGAGTTGAGATACTCAAATGACATTAAATTTGTGATGTTCAAGTGCGATTGAGTTGATAATGTCACTGGAATGAAACAAGATGAACACAACTTCACACTTGTTAACTTTGATCATATATTGTACAAGCAAAACACGAAGAATGATAAGCCTTTCATCCTTGCCTCTCAAGCACAGCAAGCTTGGTATGTTCGGGATGCATTGGAACCTGAATGGAATATAGTTGTCAAGATGACCCCTCGAGATCTTTTCATTATTGATCCAGAAATTAACATATGTGAAGCTATCCAGGATGAGCATTCTGCTTGGCAACACGTTAATAACAATAATTCTGAGGATAGTAAGGTTTCATGGGTTAGGGAGGTGTTGATGGAGTTATACTTGATGCACAAACTACAAAATCCAAGGCACACGTTGCTGAAGTTGATGATGGATTCTTTTCTGATAAGGATAATCTTGGGATTGGCAATACGATTGATGATACAAGTGATGATGATAATTTTTTTGATAAAGCCCAACAAGGAGACAAGGCTGATGATTGACTCTAATTTTGGAATATAATGCTAACATTTTGTTATATGAAGTTTAGAATGCCAATATTAGATGAAGTTACTGATTAGTATGAAAAATATTAATTGTGGGATCATTTTCACTGCCTTGGATGTCAATTTATAATTCCTTATGTTCATATTAGTCTACTTGATAACCTGCATTCTACTTCTTGTTTTAGCAGGCTGGTAATGCTGGATTTACCTTATGTTCAATTTATGATTCCTTATGTTCATATTAGCAAGTTGGTAATGCTGGTTTCATTGGGTTATAGTTCCTTAATATGTATATATTCTTTGTGTTTGCAGATTTTTAGAAATTTAAACTTCAAAAGTAAGATGATACAACACTCTCTTGCTGAATTATGTGATTAGTTTCTAAAAAAAGCCAGTAAAATTAATCATCTTACTTAACTTTGCCTTAAAAAATCAGAAGCTGCTTTTATAGGTTTTCCATGGCACCAAGTATGAAGGGGCCCCGCAAAGTTGTTGGGCCAATGTTCGGAGCGCATATTGAGTCCACCAATAGTTTGAACCCTGTTTTACGGTCAACCTCTCAATCTTATTAGACTCACCCCAATCATTATTCAAAGCCTCTAGCACATAAATTCATTGGGGCAATGCCTGGAATACGCATAGACCCTACATCTAGCTCAAACTCTGTTTCTTGACCTAATTGTCAAGCGAAATCACATGACTCCAATTCAAATTCAAACTCAGCTTCTAGCTTAATTTCTACTTCTCAGTTCAACTCTAAAGTCAATTCACATCAGTTGAACTCCAAGGCTGATTCTCAACTAAATTCCCATCCTAATTCACATATCGATCAAGGCTTTCATTCTCAACCACTAGTAGACCATCGTGGGCAACTAGATTCCTTTGATAACAATGATTCTGAAGCTGGATCAGGTTCTTCATATGATTCAGAAGACATAGAGGATGTCTTTGATGGTACTTTTGATGATGATGATTCTAGTGAAGAAGGTCGGTTGGAAAAGAAAAGATTATCACAAACAGTTTTAAGTCTAGCATTCCTTATTATAAGTTTTGTATAATATTCATAAAAAAAAATTATATGAATCACAATTTCTTCTTTTGTATGTGTGTGTGTTTTTTGTACACAGGAGACAATAGTGGTAGAGGACTAGCCAGACGAAGTGCTGGTTGGGGTGGTAGAAAGAAATTGGAGTTAGTTTGGAATGCACGAGGCCAAGTAATTGGTCCTAATGCTACACAGTATATAAGTCAAGTAGGAATCTTAGTAAAGGATGGTAATAAATTACCACTCACGTACACAGATTGGAGGGCCATGCCTGAAGGATCTAAGGAGAGATTTTGGGAAGATATTAAGGTATTTTGACTCACTATCAAAGTTAGCAACATTTTTTTCTTTTTATTTCATACAATCTTGTGGCTTGTGAATGTTTAAACTTTTGTTTTGTAATTTTTTATAGAGAAATACAAATATTGATAATACATGCAAGAAAGTACAAATGATGAGGGTCAGCAAATTGTGGAGAAATTGGAAATCAAAAGTCAAGAGCATGTATTTCACTCCTTATAGGAGGCACAGGTCATGGCTATTAGCACACTGTCCTGCAAGAGTTGAGGAGGATCAATGGCCTATTTTGGTTGATTATTGGAGCTCAGAAGATGTCAAGGCATGTATTTATTGTCACATCTCTTTTGCTTTTGAATTAAATTCTAGTGCTATTATGATTTTGATGTGTTGTTAACTACCTTTTTTGGTTTTGTACATAATTAAAAGCAAAGCAAGATTAATAGCAAGAATCGAAAAAAACAAAAGATGCCACATCGAACAGGGCGAAAAGATCATGTGAACCTCAGGGAAGAGGTATATTAAATTCTAATGCTTATGTTTCTAGCAATTTTTTCTGAAAAATAGTCTTATTTAGAAATATTAACACTTCAGTTTGTACATTGAATATGTGGCAGCTTCGGATTAAAATAGGAAAAGAGCCTTCGAAACTAGACGTTTTTATTCATTCAAGACAGGGAAAACAAATGAATGAGTTGACTTCACAAACAATTGTAAGAATAGCTTTTAGTCACTTTTTATTGGTTTTACTTCATAAATAATTCTTTCTTCTGTCTGTTTTTCAATTTAGGCAACTATGAATGAGGAAATACAAAAACTGCCAGAGACATCCAAGGATGATAATTTTGTGAAAGATATACTCTATGAAAATATTCTTCGACCTGAAAAACCAGGTCGTCTTCGAACTTATGGGGTAGTTGTGAATCCAAAAGACGTGTATAGGATATCGGATAACATGAATGCTGGACAAAAGAAAGTATTTGAGGATGCAGTGAATGAGAAAGTGGAAATCATATGTGGTGAACTACGAGAAGAAATGAATTCGAAATTGGCAGATTTTAAGAAGGAGTTGATTGCTCAATTTGAAGCAAGAATGGTTTGGGATAACTATTTGGTTAAATATTATAGTTTTTCTAATTTTTTTATTGCTTTAGTTACTGTTTATCTTTGTTCTTCCAGGGGGCATCAACATGTGACTTGGCATCACTCCAAAGAAGAGAAATGAATGCAGCAAAGCAATCTCAAATTTCGGACTCATTAGAGGTTGTATATTAATTCATACAATTCGATTTTGTGTTCAAACTCTCTGAAATATCAGCAGCTATGGCCTGATTTTCTTCTTCACACTTTGTTGATAACGTAACAGATTGGTGATAGAATGAACAGGGAAGTTGGAACAAATGATGCTGAAATGTACAAGGAAGTTGGAACAAATGATGTTGAAATAAACAAGTGTGAAATGAATAAAAAAGTTTCTTCAATTGCTGATATTCTTGAGGTATAATATGCGTACTTTGAGTTGGTCCTTCTATAGAAGACCAATTTTGCTGAGTTCCTTGTTGATATTGAATTGTGCATGAGTTCCTTGTTGATGACTATTTGTGCATGAGCTCCTTGTTGATATTTAATTGACTAGTGTTTTGTTATACCAGAACCACCATACAAAGAAGAAAAGGAGCAGGACTACTTGCAAACGGCTTGCTTGAGGTACTGGAAAAGTTTCTGGAAATAACTCTATTTTGTCAAGCTATTTATGGGACATAATGTAGTAGAAGTGGTCTTAATTTTCAATGTCTGTGAAAAGGTTGAAATAGGGGTTTTTTCCCCTTTTTTCCTTTTTTTTGTGGTTTTCTTGATGTTAGAATTGAATTACAAATTCCGTTTCAGTATCTATTGTTATATTAACGTTTTCTTCATGCTTAATGGGCTGGGGTTATAT